ATTCATCTATCCATTCATCTATCCATTCATCTATCTATTCAGCTATCTATTCATCTATCTAGTCATCTATCTATTCATCTAACTATTCATCTATCTATTCATCTATCTGTTCACTTATCTATTCAGCTATCTATTCATCTATCTATTCAGCTATCTATTCATCTATCTATTCATCTTGTAAAGTTCACGCTGTGCACTTAGGGTTGCAGTTGATGGACTGTTTTCATGCCCCGACGCTTTCACTCACTCGAGCACCGGGTGGGCGTTCGCCTTGAGAAAAGGCGCGGCCGCGACACCTTCGTTGGTGTCATCGACTTCGACGTGTTCACGGACCTCGAGCGCCGTGCTACCTTTTTCGCATTGGTAGCGGAGCCTCCTCCGGGGGGCTCCGAGTCCTTTGCGCGAAGAAGAACGAGGTTCTGCGTCACGAACCCTTGGCCGAGCTCTTTTGTTTCCTCGTGGAAGAGCCCTATCGGTCTTGGCTACTTGATTGAGAATGCCACCAACGACATCGGCTGCAGAGAGCTCCAAGGATGGAGACTACCTCAACCTGCGCGACTCCTTCGTTCCACTTTTCAGTGGCCAACCCCAGGACTACAAAGAGTATAGAAAGAGGCTGATGCTCTACCACCACAAGATGAAGATCAGCAAGCGCACAGCCGAATCTGTCCTGAACATCCTGGGAAGTTTCCAGGGTGTGGTTTGGCGGTTGTTTGAGGACTTCTCAGTCGAAGATGCTGAGAAGGAGGATGGCTTTGGCAAGATCATCACCAAGCTCGACAAGAACTTTGAGTACGATGATCGAGTGCTCCTTCCGAACGACTTTGAGGAGTACTTCAACTTGTTGCAAAGGAAGCCCCAACAAAGCCTCCTGTCCTTCGTCACGGACCACGACACCGCCTACCGTCGTTTGACTGCTCACAACGTGACCCTTCCGGTCCAAGTTCAAGGATGGCATCTACTCCGACGCGCTGCCTTGTCAAAGGAGCAACGCCAGATGGTGACACTGAAAGCTCCCACGTTGGAAAAGACCCCAGTCATCGAGGCCCTGTACCTGTTGTTCGGTCAGGACTACAAAGCTGGCGGCTGGCGGCTGGAACGCCGAACGTGATCGCAAGTTCAACCGCTGGAAGGGCCGCGGCTACCGTGCCTTCGATGACGAAGATGCCTACTGGTCCGAGCAACCCTGGCTTGAATGACGATGAGGCTGACTTCGACTATGACGCCATCTACTACGGCGAAGAGGATGACACAGGAGATCGCAATGACCCGCCCGAAGATCCTCAAGAGTTGGCAGAAGAGTATGACCACGCCTATGCCACCTACTTGGATGCCCGGCAAAGATTCCCAAGTTGACCTGCCGATTGTCGCCCTCACTGATGGCCAGAACACCTCAACCGCCTCTGGATCCTCTTCACCTTCGAAGGGAGCTGGCAAGAATAAAGGAAAGGGCAAGAACAAAAGCAAAGGAAAAGGAAAGAATGTGGTGCGCTACCCATCCTCCTCCGGTGGAAAGTCAGATCCAAAAGGTCGCGCAAAGGCAACTACATGTCTTCGTTGTGGCCAACCAGGTCATTGGGCAGCTCAATGTCCACAAAGTGCGAAGCCTCCAGTCTCACCCAACAAGAGACCTGCACCTACAGAAGGCATGGCCTTGCAGAACGAGACCGCCTTGGTCCTGTTCCAGGATGAGATGGGCACAGATCGACCAGACGCCACCATGTTGGACCCAGGTGCATCGGCTTTCCTGTGCGGCTATGGTCCCTTTGGCCGCTACTTGAGTCAGCTCCACTCCATGAACTACCCCATCAACACCATCCGCTATTTGCTCGATGCGACCGCCAGTTCCATTTTGGCGGCGATGCTTCCTCACGAGCCTCATGGACAGTGGACCTTCCTGTGATGATCGATGGCCAGTTCGGCACGATCCAATGCTATTTGGTCCCCGGCAATACGCCAATGTTGATGGGCAGACCTGTGATTGAGGCCTTGCACATGGGCATCGACTTCAGCCAGAAGCGCATTCGCTTTGGTCGCTCTCCATGGACCTCAGTGCTTGTGGGAAGCCATGGCGAATACCTGTTGAGCCTCACCACCGGCATGGAAGAAGTACCTGATCCCACGAAAGCCCTGTTCAGCCTTCGCATTGCCGAAGAAACTCCGGGCAGCCATCTCCACTTCGAGGACTTCAACAAGCTCGAACACGTGTTTCAAGCTGAAGATGTGGTCTTGTTAGGTTGTGAACTGCAATCTCCACTCGCCTTCATCGACATGCCCTTCGAACCATGGAGACTCAGCTGGTCACGACATCTAATTCCACCGAAGCCTACATCACTCAGGAGCTTCGCAATCCTCCTGATCATCGACGAGTCCTCTGGGAGATCGATCTATTGTGGCAAAGCTCGCACTGGCCACATCGCCGAGGAGCTTGGCATGAAGGTGGAAAGGTTTTCTTTGGACAATGGCTGGGACTTCAACCTCATCAGCCATCAACAACAGCTACCCCAACGACTTGATGAAGAAGAACCTGACGAAGTGTTAGTGGCACCAGAATGCCGCCTATGGTCAAGAATGCAAACCTTGGCTTGTCGCACTCCAGCTCAGCAAGAAGCATTGAAAGCCCGACGTGAGCATCACCATCGTCGTCATCTTTGCTTTGCCAAGCGCATCTACCTACGACAGGTGACCAATGCACGGCATGCTCACTTGGAGCAGCCCAGACATGCTTTGAGCTGGAACACCACGGCTCTTCGAGATCTTCCTGGCTACTATGCCGACTTTGACCAATGCCGCTATGGAGCAATGTGCATGGACACCGACGGCGTCTGGCGACCTGTCCAAAAGAGCGCTCGCCTGTTGACAACGAAGCAGGCGGTTCTCGAAGCCTTTCAGTTGAAGTGTGACCATGATCACCACCATTGCCCCTTAGAAGGCTCTGCTCCTGGCTATGGACGCCGGACCACCTATTTGGAGGACTATCAACCCGGCCTTGCAGCAACTTTGGCTGCAGCATTGGCTCGACCTGAGACTGCTCAACTGTGGGACACCGCCTATGTGGTCGACGAAACTGGCAAGAAAGAGACTGGACATCTCCTCAAGCTCAAGTCCGAACACCGACAAGATGCTCTCCGAACGGTGCAACGGCTTCACCGGAACCTTGGCCATCCAGCGCCTGACGCTCTGGCTGACTTGTTGACCGCCAGAGGAGCTCATCCCACCGTGATCGCTGCCGCCAAGGAGTACAAGTGTGTGGCATGTCTCAAGCACAAGAAACCCAACCAGGTTGCACCGTCATCCATGCCACAGCCCAAGACCTTCAATGAAGTGCTTCAGGCTGACGTCTTCTACCTCAAGCCAGCCGATCGCAAGTTTGCAGTGTTGAGCATAGCTGATGTTGGCACCAAGTTCATGGCAGCTTACTTGCTGCATGAGGAGACCTCCAAGTCCTACATCACCGCCCTGGAAAAGATGTGGGTCCGCCACTTTGGCCCTCCCAAGAAGTTGATCTCCGATGAAGGCCGACCTTGTCTTGGTGCACCTTTCGAATCCTGGACAAGCTCTCTGGGCATTGACCACCAAGTAGCACCAGGAGAAGCTCATGAGCGCCTTTCGTTGGTCGAGCGCCGTCATGCAGTGCTGCGCCGTGCCTGTGAGGTCTACATGGATGACCGTAAGCTCAACGACGCTGCTGGCATCAAAGAAGCCCTTTGCTATGTGATCCCTCAACAGAACGCAACTCCATCTGTTGCCGGCTTCTCTCCCAGTCAATGGGTACTTGGCTTCCAACCAGAGATGTCGCACCTCATGGACTACAACCTCAATGCAGCTCAACTGGCCAGCAACAATAGCACCTTCGAGGAGAACCTTGAGCGTCGCACATCTGCAAAGATGGCCCTGGCATCAGCTGATGCCGATTCCAAGTTGCGACGTGCACTCAGTCGCAAGTACCAAGGCCAGAATCGAGTTTTTCAGTTGGGAGAAAGAGTATAGTTTTGGCGTGACGCTCGACAAGGAGCCTTGAACAAGATTCGATGGCTTGGCCCTGCACACGTGGTTCTTCGTGAAGAAGATGCTGAAGCTGACACCGCAGCCCCTAAGGTCAAGACCTACTGGCTCGCCTATAAGACCCAGTTGATCCGTGCTGCACCTCACCATGTCCGTGCTGACATCCTGGGCCCTCAGCATGTGCTGGAAGACCTGCAGTCAGCCCTCAACAAAGTGAGACAGCTGAAATCTCGTGGAGTCACACGATTCTACGACTTGAGACGGGTGAATCGCCAACAGCTGGATGATGTCGAAGAAGATGAACAACACACTGAGCCCGACGGGCCCTTGCAGGAAGAAGAAGATGATGATGAACCTCCCCGGCATCGCTTTCGCCTGGAACCACCAGTGCCGACAGCAGACGCACCACCACGCATTGAGATACATGATGGTGAGTATGAGCCTACCTCACCTGCACACTCGAGCTTTGCCCCGACATCACCCCCAGAGCACCGCCAACACCAGTGGCGACAGAACCAAACATGTTGCTTCCCATGGCCCCGGCCGAAA